CTCCCAGCTGATATAAATTCCTTCAGCATTCATGTAGGTATGAATACATAGCTCTCTGGGTGTTCATAGACCAGTGGGTGACAAGCATACCAGGGCATGTCTTGTCTTTGGTGTAAGTGGGCCCACACATAAGGTCTTCTCCTCAGGAAACAGGAGCATGACTATGGGGTCTGGTGGTTTCTCTCTGGATATAGCAGGTATGTGTGAATAGCCTCTTCAGTATGTTATTTAGGATTCATGTGGCATTCTGAGTCCCCCTATGACCATGAGTCCTTTTGCAAGCTTTATTTTAGGTACATTGAGTAACAGCAAGGTGGGGAATAGCTTTTGTTTCTTTTTTTCATAGTTTCTCTCCCCACATTTATTCTGGTAATTACTTCCTTTTTTCTTTGACAAAAGCTTGTCTAATCCTCCAATCATATTAGGAGCTCTGTTTGCCACAGAAACTTGTATATATACATATACACACAGTCAGAGTAGTGAGCACGTCACTAAGTTCATTGTAAGTTTTGGTTTAAAAAAATCTATCATGAGAACTCATCAACATGGCGCTCGTTGACTGGTTTGAAAAGTGAACAACGATCCAAGCCAGGTCAATTAGAGTCCTTCTCTGGAAGTTTTTTGAAGGAGATCTAGGCTGGTAAATCTGTGAGGAGGTGAGCTTAGAGGATGCTAATTGCCAGGCCCTCGATCATGTGGATAAAAATTAGTAAGAGAAAAGATGACGTGCTGGGAGAGACAGAGGGTTCTGAAGACTTGGTTCAGGTAACAAAATTTTATGGAGTGTCCTGGTTCTTGCTTTCCCTCAGCTGTTCAGTTCTTGCCGTAATTCTATGAGCTACCTCAATAAATTTCCTTTTTGCCCATGTTAGTTCAAGTTGGAGTTCTTTTATTTTAGCCAAGAATAGAGTGTGTATGGGAATACACAGACAAAAAGATATATGTATCTCTCTTTCATCTATATTGTCTCATGGAATTCCAATTTTTCAGTCTTACTGCTTTCCAAGACTTAGGCAATATTTTTCCTTCTACATGCACTGAATTACCTCACTAGGGATAGCAAAAGGGGCAGAGTCAATTGTGATGTTAAGATCACTACCTTAGAGACACACACACACACACACACACACACACACACACACATCTGGGTTCATATTTTAATGTTAATTTCCTTTCCTCCTTCCTTTGTGACTCAGTTCATATTGTCCTCTTTCTCTTCCTAAAATATAAACATATTTTTCCTTAAACCTAAAATTGGGAGATAGTGAAGAAGCTCAGCTTTTATAGTAGGAATATGATAAGATTTTGTTCTGAAACACTATGTAATCAGTCATTACAACCATGAAAATGTTATTTTGGAAAAAAATGTTGAATATCTAGTGACTTAGCAATTAAGTTTTTGGTCTTGGACCGGTCATAAGTACCATCTCAGAGCCTGGTATGATCTGGGTTGACATTCACATCCTGAGCTGAACTTCTGAGCAATTCTTGCACTTTGATACAAGTCAGTTATTCACCAAATCTTTTCCATATACCCTTTGACTTCCATTTCAGACTTTCAAAAAGTATTCCATGATTTGGGAGGCTACATATTCTCCTTTCTTTTGCTGGCAAGGGAAATCTATACTATGAAGTCAACCACAACCTAAAGTATTGTCTTTGTTCCTGATCAAAACGTTTTTTTTTTTTTTTTTTTTTTTTTTTTTTTTCAAAAACCTGTGAGAGGCCAGGTGCCATGACCCATGCCTGTAATCTTAGCAATTTGAGTGGCCAAGGTGGGTGGATCACTTGAGGTCGGAAGATCAAGACCAGCCTGGCCACCATGATGAAAACCCATCTCTACTAAAAATATCCAAAAAATTAGCTGGACATGGTAGTGAATGACTGTAATCCCAGCTACTCAGGTAGCTGAGGCAGGAGACTCACTTGAACCCAAGAGGTGCAGACTGTAATGAGCCAAGATCACACCACTGCGCTCTAGCCTGAGCAAGAGTGAGACTGTCTCAAAAAAAGAAAAAACTGTAAGGAAACACAATAAGGTTAATCTCTTTTGATAACAAATTGAGCAAATTTTATTGAAACAGAACTTTATTCATTGGATATTCTTATAATTGGTAATAGTATCTTTTTTTTGAAGGATAAAATACACACAGCTGATGAAGTTGCAGTGAAATTTAACCAGTTTTTGGGATTAGCTTGACCACCTTTAAATGCACATCCCTTTCTTGGTCCCTTTCTGACAATATGTACACATTTCTGCTTTTCCTGTAAATACCAACCAAAAGAATCTTTCCATTGACTTGCTGTCTCTAGATAGTTGCTGCAAGTCTAAAAAAAAAAGCTGAAGCGTGCCCATACCAAATCTGTCTGAGATGATTGCTCTAACACACTGTAAAACTTATACTGGGAGGAAGAAGGCAGGCAGCCTGGGTTTCTCTGCCTTTCCCAATGCCTTACATCTTAACATAGCCTCTATTCCTGCACCTCAGTGCTCGTACTCACCTCCAGATTTTACATGAGACTTTTTTCTTGTTTACAACTCCCTATATTCTTTAGAACTACCACGTCAAGCCCCTTCCAATTAATTTCTGAATGCTGAAATTTCACCTGTGTAAAAGAGTCTTTCCTAATTAACCTCATTTGGTTCTGATCTTCTACTTAGCAGTTTTTTCAGAAATCTCCAACACGTTACACCTTTGAATGCATCACCTGGTCTTTCACTAACTTGTTCTCTGTGTGTTTGGTACAACTCCCTGTTGGCTGCAAACTTCTTTGATGCATCTGCCAGCCCTTTGGTGGTAATAATACTAATACTAAAAAGCTAACATGCAGGTCTTATTATGCTCCAGACACAATGCTAAGTAATTTACTGGCAGAATATTTGAATACTATCTGGCACATAGTAAGCCATTAATATAGGTTTGTCATTATTACCATTTATAGCCCAATTAAGTTGTTATTATTACTCCATTTCAGGACAAGAAAGCTGTGAGGCACAGAGAATTACATAAATTGCTCAGAGTCACAGAGCTCATTACGTGGCAGAAACAAAACTTGGTGCCCATCTATGTGACACCAATACCCATCAATGTTCTTAATCATTACAAAAAAAATTTGTTAAACACAAACACACAAATCAATCAATCCTTTTTGCAATCATACCTCTCCAGTTTCAGAGCAGTGTAAGTTGTACTCAAGGCAGGTTTTACTAAGGAATTCTTTCCCCTTTTAAAATGTAACTGTCTTAGAGATATAAGGAAAAAGTCACAAGTATTTGTATCTCCCTGGAGATTTTCATTTTGAAATTTAGAGGCCACTGAAATATGTGTCCTTAGGGAGAACAATGAGTTTTTCAAAACTTCTAAGTTGCTAAGGAACTGTGTTTTGTGTTTTAACTGTTAATATGCTACTTCAGTCAGTCACCAACACGTCATATTTGCTTTGATAGAAAGAGCTAGGCCATGTCCAGGGCTGACCAACGGTAAAAGTCCATGAGTATATTGCTAATATAAATGATTGATAATACAGGCTCAACCCTGATCACGGTATGCATCTTCTTACAGTTATTTTGAGTACATTTTCATTTGATGCTCACAATTGCTCTCTACTGTAACAGCTTTTCTCCTGGTCATGCTGTGAAATTGTACAGGGAGAAATGCCCACTTCTGCTATTGTCTCTCCTGAGTTCTAAAGAGCGCTTTCCCTTTCCTCCCATCTCCTTTTCTTTTTCTCTTCCTTCTGCCTCTCATAGGCTGCCCTGCCCTTTTCTTCCTTAGCTGTCTGCGCTTTCTTGAAGGGAACCAAGGGTCATAGATCCTGGGCCTGGACCCCTTTGAAAGCCTCCAGGGTCTCTGGAGAGCAGTCAGGTGACAGACTCAACCCAACCAGGCCCAGTGCCATAACTTCCCATTTAGGCAGCGGCACAGCGCCCAGATTCCATCCCTGGAAGCTGCAAAACCCTGGGCTCCGCCACAACCAGGCAGTTATGCCTCCAGGTTTCCACTCGGGTGAATGAATGGGCTTGAAGGAGACTCCAGGTGCAGGAGGCGCGTCGCGGAAAAACGTGTCATTTAGAAGAAAGTTCGTTTCCTACAGAGACTGCAGTTGGCAGCTGCAGCCCCAATCGGTTGCGAGAAAAGCTCCCCACCTGGGGAAGCGAGGCAGCTCCCCTGTGCGCTCGGCTGGGCGGACGCGGTGGCGGCGGGACTCGAACGCCGTCGTCGAGGGGCGCCCCGCAGGGTCCCATCTAATGCCCGCACTGCTGGCCGCGTTGTAGTGGGAGGAAGCCGGTGTGCACAGCTGTCTTCGATCGGGCTCAGGCTTCCGCTCCCTGCCCGCTCCCCTTTCCAGCCTTCCGCCCCAGAAATGATCTCAAGCGTTGCCAGTTTGATTCCAGAGCCCCACTCTGGTGGGTTCTTTTGTTTCTTTGTTTTAATGACAGTTCCCAGCCCTTCGGCTTGTCATGAGCAATTAATTCCCTGGCTCTCACGAAGGCAGCTGGGGTGAAATTTCTTCTGCATCATCCTTTTGGGGATAATTGTTTATGATGTGACGTCAGTCGGATGGATTTTTCTCTCTTGAATGAAGAGTGGGAGGGGAGAAAGAGACGGGGGGGGAGAGAGAGAGAGAGAGGGAAAGAGAGAGAGAGAGAGAGAGAGAGAGAGACACGCACAGATGTGCGCGGAGGCCACAGAGGCTGACATTTGGAATTCCTTCAGGGTAAAAGGAGATTGGAATGGGAGCTTAAAAGTGTATGGCTAAGATTTCAGGCTACACGGAATTATTAAGTTTTTCTTAAAAAAAAAGAAAAAAGAAAAAAGAAAAGGACCCCTCCTCCGCGGCGAGCCACTTAGGTGCTCCTTTCACGCCAGAGTCCCCTGTTAAGGTGGCAGCGCCTGATAATTAATCTCGGGCACCCAGCCGCCGCTGTAAGCTTAAGGAGACGACGAGGAGAGGCGGGGGAAGTGCGTCACCAGGTGGGGAAGGGGCTGTGTGTTCGGTGACAGGCGGGAGGCGACGGGGGTGGAGGGGAATGGGGACGGGAAATAGGTTCTGTGTGCTCTCCGGGGGTATTGTGTCAGGAGATGCAGGCTGGCTACCATGTGACGCGGTCCAAAGCTGAAGGGATTGGCCGAGGCAGCGCAGGCGGTGCAGCTCGGCCGGCTTGCCGTTCCTCTCCCTTTCTCTCAGCATCTTCCTGGTAGCCTGCCTGTAGGTGAAGCAGCACCAGCAGCATCCATGGCCTGTCTTTTGGGTTAACACTCATCTCCTTTGGCTTCGGCAGCTGACGGAACAGACCTCAGCAGCGGCGTGGTGAGGACTTAGCTGGGACCTGGAATCGTATCCTCCTGTGTTTTTTCAGACTCCTTGGAAATTAAGGAATGCAATTCTGCCACCATGATGGAAGGTAGGATGCTTTCTGCTGTGGTTGACGGGCTTCAGGCAAGGTTTGAGCAGAACAGCATTAAAGAACGTGTGCAGCCAGTGTATCTGGCGGTTCTAGAACCTGGTTGCCAACGTTTTGCAAGCAGAAATGCTGCAGTTTGCTTGCAGTGGATCTGGGTTCAGACTAATGGAATCAAACCACAGTGCTGCTGCCTAGCTCAGAACCTACAGAGCTCCCAGCTCCTTTGAGAGAGAAGAGCTTAAAGTGTTTGCAGGGAGCTAAGACGCAGCTAGGAAAGAGCTTGCAGAGCAAATAAGTTGGGCGAGAAGATAAGGTTTTCTGTTCTGGGTTCCTGGGACTACAGTGATTAAACATTTACAATGGAAACTTGTTTTCTGAAATTGACGTTAGACAGGAGAGGTCATTAACAGAGTTATCCATACTGTCATTTCAGTACACTGTTTAAAAATTCTCAAAAGGTATTTTTATCTCTGCAGTTTACATCAAATTATTGGGATGGGGAGGGCAGCAAATTTGGTCCATAAACTGTAGTTGTATGAGAATGTCATTGCAACAGAATGAACAACATAAGGAAAATATCCGGGCCTCTTGGCTCCTGATTCAGTGTCTTATCAGGTTAAAAAAGAATTTTGTGCTCCCTAAATGCTTTCCCTATCCAATGGTTTTTAGCCAAGCATCAAATGATTACTTGCTGATTATCTTTGTGCATTCAATGTGGAGTGTAAGGAGGAACTTTCCCTGGGGAGATGCTATTTAAACTATATTTTATTCTACTAAATTACCCTTCCCAGCCTGAAATTATGACAGCCAAGATTGTCTTAAAACAGCAGCAAGCTGATCAGGAAAGAAGCAAGCAGCTCTATGCAGGCTTTGATTTTCTGTTTTCACACTACAGGATGGTGCAAAACTCCTGGCCTTTCCTAAGATGACAGGCAGAAATTTGTCCCCAGCCTGGATTTCACAATGCAGAATTGAGTGCATAATGGGTCTCAAATCAGCCATGAAAATGGCAGAGAGGCCACCTCTTAAGCCAAGGTCTGTCCTACGGATGTTAACTATTCCTTAGGAATTTACCAAAATGGAATAAGAGGAGGATGGTTTCGTAAAAACAGCAGTGTAGCCTGTACTTATTTGGCAGAAATGAATTCATTCTTTTTCCTCTCCCTGTCATCATGTCAAACATTGTTAATGTGATTTGAGGGAGTGAAGAATTCTAGAGTCGAAACCCACAGATTTTAGAATATAGCCTTAAAAGAGAGGTTGGGTGTGATTTTGTTATGGAGATGGGTCTTGTTTGCAAAAGGCTCTCAAGCTAGTTCTTTAAATCCAGGCCTAAATAAATTGAGATTGCTAACACTCTCAGATTGAATCATTCTCATAAATTCATAATGGATTGTCTTTGAATAACAAGGCAAGAGAAACAGAAAGATTATTATTTATGCACTTTTCAATTAAAAGCTCACGTGGATTATCTTTTTCAGAAAAAAATCTTGCCTATGGAGGTACTGTATTTATTCAACTCAATTTCATATAGCATTTCTTAAAAATGCATCTGCACACATTCTGATTAGATTTCAGTCTTACAGAGAGAATTAGATGCTCTTTCTTTTTGCTTCTTTCCTTGCTAACTATGGCACTAAAGTATCTTCTTTGAAGGTTGTAACATTTTCTGATGCTCATTAATGATTCTCCTGGTAATATGGTCTATTGTGCCATCCAAGAATGTCAGTTCAAAGCCCTGTGATAAGCTTATCCAGGCTGCCTAAACCAAAATGAGAACCACAACAAAGACTTGTGTTGGAGCTGAATTAGCACTATTGCTCTGGGTTTGCCAAATTTATCTAATGGAGGATGTTATCTTAGCACTGGTATGAATTAGAGGTGACACTATGGATACAGTTGTCTTTCACCAGATCTTTGCAAGAGAAATTGGACAGGTGTTCCCGCTGGCTTAAATAGCTAAATGAAATTAACATTTATTTCTATCCATAGTTCCTACTTAAATGTTTTTAAGCCTTATTATCTTAATAGTTCAGTGACCTTAGAAAGGCAAATAGTAGCTTAACCAAAAATCAACTTTCTATAAATCGCCTTCCAACTTAGTTGCCAGTCTTTTTGGCAATATGCATTCATGTTTCTGGTATTGCATGGCAGAATTTCACCTCTGAATTGCCCTTATTCTGAAGGTGTGGTATATCGTTATTATTTCCACCTAATTCATCTCTAGAGATAGCTAGGCTCTGTACATCTACCACAATAATCTTGGAAAGAGAAGGAACCCCATAAAAGGCATCCCAAAATTGTCATGGCAGCTCTTTGTTGAAACATCAGTGGACTCTGAGAATGTGCCACCAAATATCTAGTAAGAATCATGTTTCTTCTCGACGATTGTGTCTCATACACACACAAAGAGTCATCCACACGAACGTATTTCTGGAGAGGGAGAAAACATATAGTTGCACTCGTGTGTATGTACATTTCTATACTGCTAATGTGTTTTAGTCTGCTGCTCAGAAAAAGCATGGCCATGGCAGGTTTTCAAAGGCCCTTCTTGACTTTGTGTAAAGCAAGAGTAAACAAACATTCAGCAGAATGGGTCATAGTAAACTATGTTTTGTTTGTGTGGAACAGGATATAGGCTCCATTCATTCAATGCCCACTGGAAATCCATCTTTGTCATAGATGAGGAATGTTACTACCTCCTCAGTGATCCTAACATCATGGAAATCAACAAAATAATTCCCCAGGGACCACAAGCCTGTGATCAGTAGTTTGTGGCTTCATGGTTCATTTAACATATTTAATTAAAATATATATATTTTAAGGGACTTGATTTGCTGCTTCCTGTATGCTTTATCTTTTGGCAGTGGTTGGCATTGAGTTATTTCTTTTCTAAAGAAAGTCACATGATGTGGAGCCTTCTGTAGTATGAATTTGAAGGGAAAGATGATGAGCAAAGGGAATTATTAACTATGGAGTGTACATATTGGCTAAACTTACAATGCAGTCTGTGTGGTTAGGGCAACTATTCAAGGACTATGTTTTACATATATTATTATTAAAGTTTGAAAATAGCATTCTTTAGCTATACTTTCTAAGATAAGTGGAACTAAGTCAGAGTTTCTTGGGCTATCTGTCTATTTGTGAGGCTGTCTAGAAAGCACTTTCCTTGTTCATGTAGACCCAACTGAAAGTGCTTTGTATTTTTAGTTCCATATTCAGGCTCTTAGGAGCTATACTAGAAAGATAAGTTTCTGGGTACCAATGGTTTCATTTTATTCAACAATTTAAAAAATTAACAAGCATATATTTTTAAGGGCTTACTGGGCTTAATTACAATATTCAGGGTAATTTAATATATTTTATTGTATTTACTACTCATAATAACCTGAAAATAAGTATACTGTATATACAGTGCTTTTTTCAGTCTTTTTCTAAATTTCAAAAGTAAAAATAATGCATTGAGGCAAAAAAGTGATGGAATGGAATTTGAACCTACATTCATTTAACAACAAAGCTCGTGTTTTTGAACATCTAGGAACCTCTTATTTTTACTTTACATCAGGTTGGGCATGTTAACCTAATTGAAAAATAGGCCATAGTGCCTTTGGTTGCATATTCTGTGTCTCTCTGTTTTAAATATGTATATTCACGGAACTATACACTTTAATTTCTTATTAATGCATTTTATGTCCAAAATCACTATTTAAAAAATTTTGCATAATTCAAGAGTAACTAAGCTTCTGTTGTTGCAATAAACATTAAACAGTAAGTGTTTCTTCTTTTCCTATCTAGATATGGAGTTTTATTAAAATAACATTTGGAAAATTCTTTGGTTTGGTCAGAAAAGAGCAACACTTCTTGAAGCTGGAGCTGTTCATTTTCTAGTTAGCTAAGAAGTTTTAAAGGGAGTGCTTCTAAATTTTCTACTGATTCTTTTCTTTAAATGATGAAAATACTTTAGAAAGTCTAAACATGCAGACATAAGATTCTAATATGTGTTCCATCACTTATGTAATTTCTCATCTTCTCTAGTGTTCTGTGTCATGAAAAACCTCTTTAGATGTATCTATTCCCATCCAAATTTCAGGAGTCAACATTAAACTTCTAAAAAGAATATGTAGTCTTTAAACAAATTAACTTAGATAAACCATACTGGACGACTCTGGATCATTCTGTCTGTTGGATGTAGCACACACACTATCCATGTTTCAAATAAACAAGGTACAGGAAGTTACCAATTCACAATTTTTATGTCCTTGAAAGTTTGTTTATGAGTTGGTTACTTGGAACATGTGTTCCCACAGGAATAATGATACAAGTGGTAGTTAGAATCTTGCACAAGTCTGTCAAAAGCTATTAACCCAATATCTAGCTAAAATACAAATATCTGCTATAAAATGTATAAAGACCAGTATGGTTCCCATAGTAATCAGATAGAAGAAAATTATGGCATTAATGTGTTTTTAATTTTGAATGTTACTGTTTGAGGGAAAGAAGCTATAATTGAAGGACAAGAAAAAGCTGGAGAGAAAATTTCAAGGTATTTTTAGAACACCTTCAAATACTTTAGGTATTTTGAGAAGTTGTAGATATGACGCTGGATTTTTCAATTATGTTCAATTTTACTTCCATACTGTGGCTTCCCTTTTCTCAATTCAATTTTATCATATGATCTGCTTTTAAATCATGAGTAAGGCCATATTGTAAACTCACAGATGGAATTAAAAGTGGGAGAGAGAATTTACTGAGATAATGATAAAGGAGTCAGAAGAGAGAAAAATGAGAAGGGATTATAATGAATTTGAGCTCATGTGTCTGAGTAAGTTCCTTTTGGAGAAATTAACTGAATAAGAAAGAGGTCATAGGTAAAAGGGAATTGGGGAGCATAGTAAAAACAGGGAAAAGTAGGGTGTGAGGCAGAGGTATAGGGTTGAACAGGTTTGTGTGCTGACTACCGCTTGTAGGTACTGGCAACAATGAGAAGCTTTCCATGGGAG